CCAGAGCTTGTCCTTTGTTAATGCTGCTTTCAAGAGCCAAGGGTCCCCTTTGCACCACAGCGTGCCCTAAGTGTAGAAACTAGTGGCTGACACTGTGTATAAAACAAAGGGCAGAATTAATAACTGCTAAAGTAGGGTTGATACTTTTTTAATCTGTTGGGTTGCTGTCGTTAGAAGTCTTCAAACAGATGCTGGATGATCCCTCATTATAGTAGCAATTCCTCTCATGTATAGGTTGAACTAGAAGGCTTCTAAAAGCTCCCTTTCAGCTCTCAAGTTCTGTCATTCCGCGAATCTGTTGTTTTGGTTCTTGATACTATTGAGTATGTCACAGAATCACAAAACTTCAGAGTTGGAAGCACCTCAGAGGCCATCTAAGACAACCCATACCTTAGCAAGAACTCTCCTTTATGACTTCCCTATAAAACTTCAAGCTCATTAGCTCCAAAACTGTCTCTTCCAGGTCTGGTCAGCTCTAACTGTTCAGAAGCTCTACAAAGTCAAAATATGCCTTCTGCAATTGCCATCCACTGCTCTTGCTTTGCCCTCTTAGCAGTCTTATCCCTCATACCCTTCAGATATATGAAGACAGCCAACTTATCCCACCACAAGTCTTTTCTTGCCTAGGTTGAATATCTCAGTTTCTTTAACAATAACATATATGACATGCTTTTGAAACCTCTCAATATCCTAATCTCCAACCTTTGTGAAGCAAGGCAAACTTGAGAGGAGTTTTACAATTTTAAAACTGAAGTATATTAAAAACATCATTATTAAGACCAACCAATTTAATCTTCATTTTTTGTTTTTGGTCATTTTGAAACTGTTGTGAGACATTACCCCTGAAGAGCATAGCTGCTTAGCACTCTGGGTCCTGGTTTATCCTTATAGTAAGTAAAGAAATCTTTGTATTTTGAGGTACCTGTACTCTTTCAGCTGAAATATTAAACCAACAGTTACTTGTACCCTTTGGATTCTAAGCTATTATTTGAACCCACCCCTTTACTTTGAAAGCCTTCTCAACCTTAAACAATTGATGAAAGATAAAAGTCTATCCCATTTTTAAAGATCTCATGAGAAGGAAATTGCACCGTTCTTTCAGCAATGTCATGGTTGGCTAGTTCTTCCATTCTAATACTGTCTATTCTCAAGTAAAAACAGAATTTCAGATTGCTCTGCCTGAGTAAAGGGTCTGTTAACCAAATTGTATCCCAGAATACAACCTAAAATCAAGCTTATATATTGCCCAGCTGGGATCTTATTTTTCACTAGCTTCCTTCTCCACCTGGATAATTGTTTTTAAGGTCCCCCCTCCCCCTCACTGGGTCAGAATCTTGGATACTGGTGAAAGGAACATATACTTTTGTACACGTACCTGTCCTTGTGCTTGCCCACCCTGTTCCCCTCAGGGGTCTCCAATAGTCTGATTGCATCTCTGGGCAGTCAGATTTGGTCTGAGTTAGTCTGCTTGCTAAATGGGCGATAATCACTTATGAGAATTGACTTAAGACTAACTTAATTAGACTGTTACCTTAAGGATGGATCTCAGACTTCCTATGAGTGGAAACAATGACATACCTGATGTAGCAATCATATACGTGATGTCGATATTTAGCCGTAGCTTTGTTCTCAGTTTCTGCCATCAGGTTAATGGACAGGCATTGTTTCACTAGGCTCTGCTGGGGATCAAGCCCCTTGCCTGGCTGTCCTGCCTCTAAAGAGCTTAGCACTAATAATTATCAGGATTGCTGATGGAGAGGGGTATCCACTAGCCTCTTAACAAGAATCACAGACTTTTAGATGTAGAATGGACCTCAGTGGCCATCTACTGCAACCTATACTCCTAAGGACTCTTTATTACAACAAACCCTTCCAAGCTCTCCTTGAAAATCTTCAAGGAGGGGAAGCTCAGTATGTCCTCAAGGTAGCCTATTGGGCAGTTTTTCCCGAGCCTAAATATTCCTCTTTGTAATTCCACCCATAGATTCTAGTTCTGTCTTTTAGGGCCAAATAGAACAAGCTTCTTCCACATGATGGGCCTTCAAATACTTGAAGACAGCTATCATGTTCCTCCTGAATTTCTCTCTCTCTCTCTCTCTCTGAGTGAAGCAAATAGTCACTTTGTTATAGCCCACTCCTTCACTATGTTGTTCTTCGGCTTTTATGCTGGCTTTGATACCCTCCAATAACATCTTCCTCAGATATCTCATCATGACATGGAGGTCAATCTTGAAGGTTATGCCAAAGGAGCATAAGCTCTGGCAGATACTACTTAGTTGAAGGGCTTTGAATATTGGTTCAGTGATGAGCTGTTATCTAAGGACCAGTCTAGCAAAGGACAAAAGATGCATATTATCAAATTGGCCACAACATAATGAACATTTTGGCCATGGTGATTCTTGAAGACTCTACCAACTTGTAGAGGATTTATTTTGCATAGTTGGAAGGAGTCCCTATATCAATTAAATCAGTGATCCTGCAGGAATTGAAGCATTTTTGGTCCCCTAACTCTTGACTCATAACTTTGAATTCAAAATGTTCTTTCCTATTTAGCCCTTAGATTTGTTACCTTTCTTCTTGTGACCTTGACTTTTTTTTTTTTTTTGGTAAGCCATTAGATGGTGCAATGGCTAGAACACTGGACTTGGAGTCATGAAGACCTGAGTTCAATTCTAGCCTCTAACAATTATTAGTTATGTGATTTTGGGCAAGTCACTTAACCTCTATCTACCTTAGTTTTTTTATCTATAAAATAGGGATAATAATAGCATCTACTTTCCAGGATGGTTGTGAGAATAAGAGATAATATCGGTAAAGTACTTTGTAAACCTTAAAGCATTATATAAATGCTAGCTATTATTGTTATAACAATAATAACAACAATAACAGTTATTATTATTATTGTTATTATTTTTGCGTGATGTGTCCTTCCCGATTCTAGACACCATGTAGGCCCTTGACTAAGATACCTTTCTACTGGTTTCTAACATATATTTAATCCTTTTGACCCTTGGCTTTCATCACTTTGTTGTGAGATGACAATAATACTCTTTAGTTTTAAAGGCTAGCTGCTTAGATCAGTCACTCTTCTAAGCTATTTATGCAATAGAACATTTTATATTGATGTCTACTATTCAAATGGCAGAAATTCATGGGAAAAAAGAAAAACAACAAAAACCTTGACCCAGGTTTCATGGAATGCATGATTCCAGGTTAATCACTGTTCCCTTTCTGAGACCTTTTATGTTGGCAGAGCTTAAGAATAAGAATCTGTGAAACTATCCTGTGAATTATAATTTCCCAAACAGCCAGAATGCAGGTATTAATTACATAATACAATATTGGCACATTCAAGGTCCCAGGAGGCATAGAATATAGCTTTTAGCACAATTGCCATGGCTCTATGAATAACCCAATGTTACAACAATGTCAAGATAATCAGCAGCAGTCACAAGGTGGGTATGTACCTATAGAATCATGTTTATTCATAGTGATGCTTCCTGAATGAGACTAGCCTTAATGATATTTGCTATGATACTTTAGTAGATCTCTGTTCTCATTAATAATGGCTACTCCTTCCAATGATGTTGATCACATTGCATCCTTGCTGTCTCATTCTGTGCAATTTCTTCTCTGAGTTCTCATATGTGTAGATCCTCCACCCATCATACTCAGAACCTTCCTTGAGCTTCTCTGATATCCCAAGGATACCCATGGAGCATGGGACTGCCCATTGGCTATCCTTCACTCTCACTACATGAACAATCAAGTCATGAAATAGTACAGAACTAAAAGTTGAGGTCCACCTAAAAGGCAAAGGAGAGGCAAGTGGTGGGCATAAGTAGTCTGTGAAGCATCACCAACAAATCAGTGCACAAGAGAAACAGTGTAAAAGATGTCATCACAGCAATGAATGACTAAACAATCTAGTCACGGGAGTATAAATGAATAGGAGCCAAAAGAAAAATGATTCTACATATTCTGGCAAATTAAAGCCCATTACTGACTTGCAAATGCATTTTTTGATCTTAGAAAGGGTAATTTACATAATGGTCGGGGGGAGTTCTGAAGAAGTCATGATTGTATAGTCCATTGCATCAAAAAATGCGATTAGAAACCGTTAATTCCTGTGAAGCCTAGGATGGAATTTATTCTACTCTCTCATGTTGACATATACTTGATTTCTAAATTATTGACTGTATTCAGGCTATTAAGAAACTGCTCTTGTTATATATTATTTATGTAGCACCAGACACGTATATGATATTTCACAGCTGTTGAGGTCTCCAAAGACCTGACAATCACAGAATGGTGATATATGAGCCCCGACCACTTAAAAAACAAAAACAAAAACAAAAAACAAATCCCTTGCTTTATCTCAGAAAATAACTCTCCCACCACAAAACCCCAGATACATGAAAATCTTGAATAATTGCACATATCATTAAAAGAAAAAAGCAATTGAACTTGATTAGAGATATTTGCTATCAGTATGAGGTGCCAAAACAATACAGTTCTTAATAATAAAAAAAGGTAAAGCAGTGAGTGTTTTCTTTCAGATTGGAGAGATTTTCCCCTTGCTTTGCACTGTCATCTCTCTGAGAAGGCCACAAGCAGTTTTGTTTGAAAGACATTTTGCAGTCAATGTCCCCTTTTAGGGAAGGCAGAGCACCAGGGGGTTGGAGGAGGCAACATTTGAAGCCAAAAGAAAATTACATTTTGAAAAAGTCATTTGATTCCTACAGCAGTGCTGCCCTGTTACTTGCATTCTCAAGGCAGCAAATGGATTTTATTGGAATACCATCCACGTGCAGCCTGCTGCTAAGAATAAAAAGGCACTTTCTGGTAACTATGCAATGTGGAGGGAAAAGATTTGGCAAGGCATTGAAATGGTGACAATAGCAGATCTTAGTGTGTGTAGTTGAACATATGGTGCGCCTCAGAGAAGAAACAAGTGACTTTGTGTGGATGACATCCTTAAAAAAAAATCTTTATTTCAGTTGGCAGGGAAAAACCAATGGGAACATCTGCGACAGCTAGCCAACAGGAGGAAAAGGCCAGAGAGTCTGGGAACCAAGTAGAAGCAACATACCAGTGCATGGCCCACATCCCATTCCCCTCTCCAGCCTCAAGTAAGTTACGGTTAATACTGAGACATAATAAGATGCCACTCTATTGGATAGTTCTATCTACCTGAATAGAGGCTTACCTGCTGGGAAATATAAGGGACAGGGCAAACACCTTTACATGTTAATTCTGGTTATTTTTTGCTTGCATTGAATGTTGCATTGTGGCGAACTACAGGGAGGACATAGAATGGCTTTTCAGAGGATGATATCATACCACACAAATTCCTTTTAAAACATTGTCATCTCTTTCATGGAGTTCTTGTATTTTATAACTTCTCTCTCTTTTTGGAATTCAATATTCATTTACTTACTATGATGTACTCTTTCAAGAGTACTATATATTATAATTACTATGTAATGCCCTAAAACAGTTTACCAGTATTAAATAGTTTAGTTTGAAAAAAAACCACTCAAACCACCTTCCAAAATAATAACTGACATTTTCGTCAGTTAGTCACTTAACTAGCATATATTAAGCACTTACTATGTGCCAGGCACAGTGCTAAGTGATGAGGATACAAAGAAAGGAAAAAGACAATTCTATTCTCAAGGAGCTCACAGTCTAATGGTAGAGATAACATGCAAATAAACCATGAGCAAATGTGATTTCTACAGGATAAAGGGAGATTGTGGTTGTGGTTTGCCCTTTATTCTCAAAGAGGACCATGATATCAGGAAGCTGACACCATGACTTGGCAAGTGAATTGAATTTAAGTGAGGGAGGGCTATGCAAAGTCACCAGCCTTACTTTCTCCTCCAGAGCCACCTGGGTCCAGTGGGCAGATACAGATCAGGACCACTGGAGATGGCCTAGGACGCAGTGGAGATCTTGGCCTTTTTTTTTTTTTCGCTTTTTTGGTGAGGCAATCAAGGTTAAGTGACTTGCTCAGGGTCACACAGTTAGTAAGTGTCAAGTGTCTAAGGCTGGATTTAAACTCAGGTCCTCCTGACTCCAAGGCCAGAGCTCTATCCACTGTGCCACCTAACTGCCCCTGTGTTTGGCCTTTTTAAGCTAAGGTCTTTCTGAGTCCTCACTTTGACTGAGGCAATGCCCATTCAGTGGTTATACCTGTTTAAGAAGTGATGAAATGTAAGTCACCTTTCCAAAAAAACACTTGTCATGGGCTTCTGAATAGTAATTGGCCAGAAGCCCATGCAAATGTTTTTTGAAAAGGTGACTTACATTTCCAAGAAGTGTTATACAGTTCAAATAAGCTTCACATTACCTCATATATGCCTAAGAACCTTGTGAAACAGAAAGAGTACAAGTTTCATGGGAGGCAATATGGCATAGTGGATAGAGTGCTTTACCTGGAATCAAGAAGACCAGGGCTCAAATTCTGCCTCTGATATTACCATCCGGGGGACCATGAGGCCCAAGTTAAATGGGAGATAATGATCAGAGGAAAGGTGCCAGCATTAAGGGGGACTGGAAGAGGTTTCTTGCAGAAGGTAGGACTTTAGCTGAGGTTTGAAGGAAGCCAGGGAAGCCAGGAAGTAGAGATGACAGAGAGAATACCAGATATGGAAGGCAACTAATGAAAATGCTCAGCTGAGAGAGAGTATTGTTGTATTTGGGGAACCACAAGGAAGCCAATGTCACTGTATTGTAGATACAGAGTAAGCAAATATGGTGTAAGAATACAGGAAAGGTAGCAAGGAGCCGTATTAAACAGGGCTTTATAATCTAATAGGTGATTTTATATCTTACCCTGGGGATAATAGGGAGACACTGGAGTTGCTTGAATTAGGGAGGCAATGTACTCAGACTCATACTTCAGGAAGATCAATTCGACAGCTGAATGGAGGATGGACTAGAGTGGAAAGAGATTTGAGGTAGGGAGAACAACCAGCAGGCTATTGAAATAGTCCAGGTGTGAGGTGATGAGGGCCTGTACCAGGATGGTAGCATTGTCAGAAGAGAGAAAGGGGAATATACAAGAGATGTAATGAAGACAGCTCATGACACAGTGGATAAGAGTACTATGCCTGGAATCAGGAAGACCTGAGTTAAAATCCAGCCTTATTTACTATCTGTTTGATCTTGAGTAAGTCACTTAACCTCTAGTTGCCTCAATCTTTGGAGGTAATAATAACAACTACCTCCCAGGGTTGTTGTGAGGATCAAATGAGATAATATTTGTAAAAAGTACTTAGCATAGTGCGTGGCACATAGCAGGCACTACATAAATGCATATTCCACTTTCCCTTTCTCCTTTATGTGATAGCAGAAACAACAGTACTTAGCAACTGATTGTGGGGGAGGGGAGAGGAGATAGTATGAAGAGTCAAAGATGACATCTGGGTTGTGGGCTTGGGTGACAGTAGTGAGAAAGTGAGGAAGAAGTGAGAGTTTGAGGGCAAAGATAATGAGTCCATTTTTGGACATATTGAATTTAAGATGTCTAAGAGACATCTTATTTTGAGTTATCCTGTAGACTGTTGGAGATGGAAGACCAGAGGTCAGGAGAAAAGTTAGTGTTGAATAAGTAGATTTGAGAATCATCAGTATTGAGATGATAGTTGAGTCCATGGGAGGTAATGAGTTCACAAAGTGAACTAGTATAGAGGCAGAGGTTCCCAAAATGGGCTATACTGATTCATGAGGGGCAACCTAGGGGGGTGGTAGCAGCCTTGGGTATAATTGGGGGACATTGAGTAAAGATAAAGGGGTGGTAGAAGCATAAGAAAAGAAGAAAAGATAAGAAAATTTTGAAAAACCACTCCTTCATTTTTCATCTGTTGTGTAACAGAGTTAAAGTCATAGTGATAACATTATTTTCCAAATAAACACACAAAATGCAAGTTATAACCAATTATTGGCCAAGTCTGCCAACACGTCTTAGCAAGCAAGTGTTGGCAGGCAAGCATGTTGTGCATTACGGGAAGTCCAGCATGCATTGGCAGGAATATGTGCATGTAACGACTTGTTAACAATATGATACTATATGGTTATATGATACAATATTGCATTATCAAAAATTCAATTCAAGAAAAAACACAAATTTACTGTAAATTATTAAATTTAAGATGCATAATTTAAAAAAATGTTTTATATTTTTTTTAAATGACACAATTTTAAAGAAATGTTAAAGGGTTATTAAAGAAAGTAGATTTCCATGGGGGTGCTGAGTAATTTTTTAAAGGGAGCAGTAGGCCAAATAAGTTTGGGAACCTCTATGTTATAGAGGCAAAAGAGAAGGCCCTGGACAGAGCTTTGGGGACCTGGATGAAGATCCTGGAAAGGAGGTGAAAACAGTGTCACAAAAACCTAGATCGGAGTTGTATCTGAAAGAAAAGACAGTGATCAACAGTATCAAAGGCTGCAAGGAGGACAAGAAGGATGAAGACTGAGAAAAGATCATTAGATTTGCCAATGAAGACATGGGTAACTTTAGAGAGAGCATTTTCAGTTGAATAATGCATTTGGAAGTCAGACTACAGAGAGTTAAGAAGAGAATGAGAGAAAAGGATATGATGAAAAGGAGAGAGGCATTGAGTGCAGACAGTCTTGTTAAGGAGTTGAGGAGGGAGTTTGGTTGAGGGCAATAGGAATAAGGGAGTGGTCTGTGGAGGACCAAGAATGGAGTGGAGTGGTGGCAGCCCAGGGTTCAGAATCACTGGATGGGGAGAGAATAATGGATTGGCAGTTTGCTATTGATTGATGAATGAATTCAGATAGGTTATCATTACCCACTGAGGTTCAGCCTGGGGGTGCAGTAGGCCCAGGGCTTTAGGCAGCAGTGGGTAGGAAAGCACTGAGTATGTGCTAGACACTTGCTAAATGCTTTTTCTTATTTGAGGCTCATAACAACCATGTGCTTAACTGAGGATTAGAGAAATGAAATGATTTGTCCATGGACACATAACCCGTAAGTATTGGTTTCCTGACTCTGGGTCCAATACTATCCATTGTGCCAGATCTCTGAAAAACAAAACAAACACTAAACAATCTTGAAATCTGTTTCCTCTCATTGGTGGAGATATTAAGGCAGAAACAAACTATTCTAGGTGCCACAGTACTGAATTTCCAGTCTCCACTGCGTATATTTGGACCCCATCTTGCTTTTAGATGTATTATATTACACTTTACTTGGAAGGGTAAAATATCTGGCATATAAGACATTCAGATTGGGTCATGTGGAGTAATACAATGGCATCTCAGAGAGCTTTATACTTTATACCGAGATAAATACCTTATTTTGTGTTCCCCAGATAAAATTCAAAATGTTTTCTCAAAGCTTCTGATCTTCTATGCTAGAGGTTCTTAATCTGGGAGATATGGAGCCCCAGGGGGTCTATGGCTAGATTTCAAGGGATTTATGAACTTGGATGGAAAAGAAATAACATTTTTTTTCTTACTGACCTTTAACTGAAAATTAGCATTTCCTTCAATTACTTAAAAACATTTGATTCTGAGAAGGGGCTTATATCAATTTCACCAAACCACCCAAAGTAACCATGACACAAGAAAGATTAAGAACTGCCCTAGGCAATCTTTTCCATGCATGTACAGGGACAGACAATAGTGCCTCCCACTGGGAAGCTTGAACATCTCTTCCATCACTGGCAAGAAAAACCCATTTTTGCTGTGTTGAACAATCTTGGGCCTGCCTTCTCTGGTTATACAAGAGTGCTGAAGTCTCTCAAAAAATGGAATGAGAACAATCAGAGTATTTCTCAGGAACATACATATGTTTTCTTACAACTTTTCACTGAAATCATGACGTGCTAAAACCCCAATCAGGTTGGGCAGCACAAAATAAATGTAGGATATTACTGAGAACAGCAGGCTTGGTTGAAATCATTTAGGAATGGACACTTTTCATAAGAGAGAGGCTTTTATGCTTTATGTAAGTTTGTCAGCTGTGACAAAGACTGTTTCAAATATGTTTCTGTCCTGGCCTTTGCAGGGAGAGAAGGTAATATTTTTGATGAGGTAGGCCAAGTCATTTCTGAAAACAATCAGTTTAGGCCTCATGATGAATTTAAGCCTGTTCAAA